ATATAATGAGGACCACAATGGAAAAACTTAACTAAAATAAACCACTGAGTGAATTTCCCCAAAGGACTCTACATTATTGTATTGAGTGCTTACTGGCAGTCCTAAAGGGTTCATGCTACATCAGGGTTAAAGAGCCACACAGCATCAGGATATAGACTGTGAGGCGGGGGTCTGACACCACAGAGTCAGAGGTCTCTCACCAGAGAGGAAGAATAAAAAACAAAACAAAAAAAAAAAAACAAGTCAACACGTCTCCTTGCCATAAAAGGGAGGAAACTGATGTGCGACCACAATCAAGATGCTCTACGAACGACCCTGTCCAGCCCTCTCTTCGCTCAGGCATCGTTGTCATTCCTCACTCACATGAGGAGCAGCATGTGTAGTAAAAGTGAATGAATACTTCCTAACCCACACTGAACCTTTTAAACCACCACAGAAGAAAATTACCTTTGATGTGCTTTTTTGAAATAGCTATGTTCAGGTTTGCCTCCCATGGGAGAAAGAGTAGTGCCAAGAATCATTAGTCTCCACTAACTGGTCTCTAATAAAGCAGTCGAGGTCTATTATCATTCAGCTTATGAAAACCTACCACCGTTTTATTGTTTTTTTTTTTTTAATTAAATACAAAGCAGCCAAAGTTTACCGTTATTGCTACATTTCCAACAGACAGCTTTATAATATATTAAGTCTACTCACTTAAAAGACATCAACAAAACCTCCGTTAGTAAATAAAATAAAACAAGAAATAGAACAATGCCTGACTATGCAGCTTGCTGACATCCTTCATTATTAGAGTGCCAATATATACGACCTGAATAATGTACAGGGTTCTTTTTTAAGAGGATCAGCATAGATGGACACACACTAAACATGAAATACTGTTGTTATGGCTGCATTTCATTAAACAACTGCTCTCTAACTGAAAGCATTCGGGGCGCCAGTCAGGGAGAGAGGTCATAGAATTAAATGTCTGATTTATGATCGTCACGTATCAGTGATTGCCGACTGAGAAACGTCAACTTCATGAGTCTTGCCTGGTGACCTTCTTGTCCCCTTTCCCCTCCTCTGTCTGTCTGTCCATTTGTCTGTCAGTTTGCCTCCTATTGTTCTGAGGAACTGTTAGATGTTGCATCAGTTAGCAAATAAAATGAGGAAACAATGAGAATTGTGAAAGGCCTTACAAAACAGCCAAACAGTTCATCCATACGGCCTCAGCAAGCTTCAGTATTTCAGATAACACTCATCCTCTTCTATTGTCTTACATTACTCGTGTTGTTGATCTGTCCCCTGCTCGAACAAAATCACCAATCAATTTCATGTTGCTAGTACTACTGTTAACCACTATGTCTTAAAATGCTCAGCAGACCTTTGGTATTTAAAGACCAAAAAAGGGTGAGTCCTGTGAGGTAAATATCTCAGTAAACACCAGTGGTGACTCATTGCCAGCTTAATTCAGCTTAAGCTTGCCATGTAAACATTATAAAATCCTACAAGAGGCGTCAAAGCCTACAGGACCTCAATATACCAGACCGTGATGAAACACTAGTTGATCTTTTTGCTTGTTTAAGGATGAAAGGCGAGGTGTTCTGTAAGGGCGATAATAAATGAGCGCCAACAGTTAAAGGACACTGTACAGGACATTGTACCTGGATGTCATAAATCATGTCCAGATGAGGAGATTGTTTTGAGAGAAGTGTTGAGCAGGAGGTAAATGTCAAGTGGTTTGGATTGGCAAGTCAGTGCTGATGCTTCTATTTAAAGTATTCAAAGCGTTACTGCTACTGCAGTAGCTTTTAGTACGACAAAGTTAGGCATTAGGATTCTGTTTGATATTTGTCCCATCATAAGGAGCAAGCCAGCAACATATAGAGTTACAATCATGTCTTATTTAGATAAAGTCGCAGCATGTAAGTAATGGAGATCTGATGTAAGAGATGTCCTGTGTCTGTCCTACTGGCTAAAGTAAAGATGATCAAAATCCAGTCCTTTCTTCACTGTACTCTGTGTTTTGTCCACATCAGCCTGTTAGTGTTGCAGTGCTACTCTCCATAGTAACAGCCATGCTCTACACTGCGAGCATTTCCCTTTATATGACAGTGAAAATGAAAGTGTGTTGATGTGAAAAATGATTTGGTGATCGATTCTGTTCCGTCAGCCGGATTATCGAAATTCACTTAACTCCAACGGTAAGGAAATCCTGACTTATCCTCTCTCTTTCTAAATAGCAAAGATCAGTGTACAAAACATTAAGGTATCATTCTGGACTCAACCAAAGATTGTTTATGAGGTAAAGAAACATCACTCCATAACACCACTGTACTGTATAGCTGCCAATGGACTGTTTTTGTACTCCCAACAGAGGGATTTGTCAATTCCAGGAGTTGCATTCTTCCAGTTATCAATAATTTAAGCCTAACTACTTCGTATTTTGCTCAAGCAGTTTGTGAAAATGTAGGTGTGTCAGACTGAGTAGCAACAGCTGTCATTTCAATGTCAGATGAGTCTGTGCATGCCACTGCATGAAGGGACAACTTTTCAGCCCCAAAATCACAGACTAGTACTTGACCTAACCAATGAGTTTCTGCTGGAGGAGATTCAAAGAACCACTTCAAAATAAGTAGTTTGATATTTTGAGAGATATGCTGATTCGCTTTCCTGTTACAGTTACATGTCACGTCTGCACAGTAAATATGAGGCTACAGCCGGCTGCTGGTTATCTTGGCTTAGCATAAAGACTGGAAACACACAAAAAAGCTAGACTGGTTGTGTCCAAAGGTTACCGAAATCATCAGGCTGCCAACACCTTAAGGTCACAAATTAACATGTTATATCTTATGTTTTCATTCAGTACAAAATCAAATTCGGTTTCATGGGTGGCCAAGAAGAAATCTGGCACATAAGCAGCCATAAAATACAAGTTATATCAGGTGTTAATATTGATGTTAATCTAACTGGCTGATGGCTGTAGCTTAGGGCTGTCTGAGAAAAAAAAAAAAAAAAAAAAATTCAAACACTATTGACCTGTTCAAATTCAAAAAGTTTTATTGGTAACTGCAACAGACATTTTTAAGTAACCTAATTTGCTTTGTTGTCCAGCAAAGGGCACTCTTAAAATTCAACCAGCTTGACCTTACATGCCCTATTGACCTCTGAGTAAATTAAATCGACTCCTGCATATTGGATAATCAGGAAACCCACTCTTTTGAGTTCTACACCATAGATTAGATGACACAATTACCAACAAAGATAAGGTTGTCTGCCAAATTTGTAAAAAAAGATGCTGCTTTGTTTTACAATGGCGACAAATCTGAGGACTCACCTACTAGCTTACCAGCCAGGTGGCAAAAATCTGTCAACTTGACCAGCTTCATATTTACTGTACCGATTCGAGAGTGGCAATTATCTTCTCATTTAACTCTCAGCAAGAAGGTAAATAGATGGGCACTTAGGAGCTACTTGGACCAATGAATAGAGGGGCAATTGTGCAGATCAGAAGGACTCTTGAGCTCATTGCCTTTGGACCAACCAGATCAGCACTTCAGGAGGTACTTGGACTAACTAGAGATGTACTCATACCAAGCAAAAGGACACTATGACCAACTTATGTAGGAGTAGGGGTACTTAAACTCCGACACTCAGAGCATAAGTAGCAGAGGCAGTAACCCCCTCTCCCACAGTGCACACCACTGGATAGATAGATATTTACCCAAACTAATGATGATTTTCATATTTAGTGACAGACTGATGGAGCGTTTACAGATTCAAGCAGAGCAATAGGACACTGCCGCCATCTTGAAGGAGATATTCTGCGTGTCATTTTGAATATTAATCAGGGAGGATTATCATTGTCATAATAATGTTCCTTTTTCTTCCATCGCTGCACAAAACACTGGGCGTGCTCCAAGCAAAATAATACCCCCGTCTGCAGTCCCCACATAGACAAAAAAACAAAAAACAACACCACTTGTACTGATTGTGCTATACACATTTGCATGCATACTGATCACAGCCATATATTAACTGTTTTCTGCTGATGGTGGCAGATTTTTCTCATACAAGTAGCAGTGCTGAGGAGTGGAGGTTCATTGTGATGGTTAAAGTGTACCCTGGAGTGTGTGAATTTGGATTGGACTCCCCCTGTGACCATGACGTAAACAGACACGGCTTTGTTTTCAGCCTTGGTAAATGTGTCTAACAAGCGGAAACACGCACACAACACACACACAACACACAGGTGGCAGTGTCCACGTCATGGCCTTGGGCTCAAGGTTTCTTTATCATCCTGAACTGAAAGCTTCCTGTTCCTGCGGCTCTGCATGTAGAAACCTTACATAATGCCTCTTAGAGTTAACTTTATAGGCTTGCACTTGAAGTTAAAGACTTCAGTAGAAGCCATTAAGAAGCCAGTGTTTTTTCCACAGAGTGAAGATTACATCTATAAAAACGAGGGTGCCGGGTGTCAAGGATTTTAAGCAGGAGACTGACTTTTCCCGCTGTTTTCTCTCTCTAATATCCCTCCAGCTTCAGCTGCAGCTCTCATCCAGATCTAACTCTGCTTTCATGTTTGACCCACTTTACAAGACAGAGACAATGACAAAGAGAAAGAGAGGCAGAAGGAAAATGATTAAGAAGACACTGGTAAGGAGAGTGGGAGTGTTAAGGCAGAAAGAGAGAGGGAGACTGAGAGGGAGATGCAGAAAGTGGGGAAAGGAGAAAACCCCAGAGGAGTGAGTAAAAGAGTGACAGCGGAAGAGAGAGTATCAAAGGTGTAGAGAGAGAGAGAGAGAGAGAGAGAGAGAGAGAGAGAGAGAGAGAGAGAGAGAGAGAGAGAGAAGAGAAAAAGGGGTAAACAGAAGGCACAGCTAAAGGCGCCTCGGAAGGAGGGGAGTGGGCTAAGCAGAAGGGAGGAGGGAAGCTGCTTCTCCTAATAAAGCGAGTGTATGTGAAAGGGAGGTGCTGACAAACCTTACACTAGGCAGAGAGGCTGTGCTACCAGAGGGAGGGAGAGAGAGAGAGAGAGAGAGAGAGAGACCGTGTAAGAGAGAGAGAGAGAGGGGGAGACAGAGAGAGGGGCAAAGAATAGAAAGAGCATTGTGTTGCTGCTGAGAAAGAACCCATGTCCGCACAAAGAGGTAGGTGTACTGCTATGACTGGCACACATACACACACACATACACACTCACATACACACTCTGTCTGCACACAGGAGAGTAGGAAATCCTTACCACCCAGTGTATCCAGCGGTAGGATGTACCAGCAGTCTGTACAGTAAATGTTAAGTAATCAGGTGAGTGTGTGTTCTCTTCCAACTGTGTGACTTGCTTTACTGCATGTAGCGGCTCTGTAGTGGTGTGGGGCAGGTGTGTGACTTTTTCATAGCATGTGCCTAAGTGTGCGTATGGGTGGTGTAAGCAGGTGCCTGTGTGCATCTGTGTGTGTGTTTTGTACACTAGATTTACCTGGAGATTTGAGAGTCTGTGTGTTTATTCCACTGAGGATAAACACTGTGGCACACTTATACAAGATCATGTAAGGTTTATGTTAGTTGATCAGGCAAAGTGCATGTCACTGTGGGTAACCACACAACATTATCTGAATAACTGAAATCAGTTGTTGGGGGTTGGTTAAAGTTTAATTGTCAATATATGTGACAGTATGATCCAATGATTGTATTGATGGTGCCATAAAGCAATTACTGTGACAGCAATCATGTTACATGCTCCGTATGAACCAGACTGGGTGCCGCATTTGTTGCCAAGTCTAATGTGAGCTTTCAACTGAGCCAAATATTATTCGCACCTAAAAAGTTTGTTTTAGGCTAACTACGAAATCAAGAATGATTAAAATTGTATATCAAATTCACATTTGCTTATGCTTGGTGATCATTACTTGATCTGAAGAAGTTAAACCAAAACTATGTTTTTGTAATTTGGGTAACTTTAATATTAACTGAGCCCAATATTGTTTGTACCTAAAAAAGGTTTGTTTTATGTTGTCTAAGTATCAGTGAACTCAAGAATCCCAAAAAAGGAAGTAGAGGTCAATTTGGCAAAACCAATACTAAAGTGATACTTTATCCAACCTGTAAAGATAAGGTACCTTGCTCTGTGTAGAGTACTTCACCCAAATTACAATAATACTAAAACCTATTATGTGACCGCATCATAGACCATTTGCATTCTGCCTAGTTCCAGCCCTTTTTCTGCTTGCTTCTCTCCTACTATCTGTGCTCACATTATAAAGGATTTAAATACAGCTGAATTCCCAATAAAAGCTGTTCTCATTTACATGCTCATTAAGACTACATGTTGACCAGCAGTCACTTCCTACCCTTTCCAAGCTGCTGCCCTGCACAGCTTAAATGCTGATTTTATAACCATCATTTTGTCATCTGACAAAATCACCAAATCACCATGGCTGTGCTGTGATTTTGGCTATATTTACCGAGCTGCCAATGCATTCAGCATAGAGAGGTGTACCCTGCACTCGCAGGGCAACACTGGCAAGGTTTGTCGAAAAAGTTGCTAGATTTCAGTGAAAAGTCAGTGAATGGGTCTGAAAAGTTGGGAAATCTAGCGCCAAAGGCACTACGTTCGCAACGCTGTTTGTTCGCAACGCTGCTTGTTCGCTCGGAATCATTTTGAAAGAGCAACAACCAATGAAGAAACTTCAAAACTTGGCTGACTGATCAGTGGTGTAACCTTAATCACTCACTCAGTCACTCACTCACGGACATTTGTTTTTATAGGGCAGGCCACACTGTTGCAGTCCAGGCAAAAAAAAAGAAAAAAAAAGAAAAAGAAAAATGTATAATTCTAATCATGTTATATCTGTCTCTGTGTCCACCCCAATAGAATGGAGGTGAGTGAAATTTCATGGTAATTGTCGATGCTGTGAGCACCACAAATTAAATTCCATTCACCTCCATTATTTGGTGAGGAGCCAAATCTCAAATATCTCAAAACCTGGATAAATTCAACCAAAATTATCTGCAATGCAAGACACCACTTTTTTGTTTTTGTTTTGGTGCTTTGGGTGACATGATCCTTTAACATCAACTGAGCCCAATAAAGTTTAAACTTAAGATGATTTATTTTAAACTACTTGGTCATCAGTGAATTCAAGAATGTTTGGACAACCTGAAAAGTGTATACAAAAGCCGGATTTGCTTATGTTAAGTGAGTGATATCTTATCTTAAATAACTGTCAAGTTAAACAACTGGCTCTCAATGAAGATGAACCCAAACACCAAGTCACCATTGTGTAATTAAATTATATCAGTGGCCATTATTTCATCCCAGCTGGGGATGTTCAGCAACACACTTTGCACTGAAACAGCAAATGCTATTTTTATTCTCAGCTGAAGGTCAGGGCAGACGCAGGGTTAGTGTCAGTCTTGTCCTGTGGGGGAGGTCAGACTGGACTGAGAACCAGCTAGGATGGACCACTTCCCTGTGGCAGCCAGAGATACTTCCTTTTTCATCATATGACGCGCGAGAGGTTCCCTTTTTGAGGAAGCAGCAAACTGTGCTGTGCTGTTTCACAACAGCCTGAACAAGGAGTATTTATAAAGCAGTTAAGAGAGTAACAGAGAAAATATTGAAGCAAGAAGCCCACTGACAGTTCAGCAGTTCAAGGACAGTGTTGTGCTGATTTCTGTGGGTGATTATGCATGTGTTATGCTAAGGAGGAAAATAACACAGCCCATTTACTCTCAAGTACATAATTAAATACAAGGATTCACTTATATCCATCATTGTAAAGTGCTATTTATTCCAGTTACTATTATGTCTTCTACTACCTATTGGAAAAATAGGTCTTAGTCACTGCCCGTCATGCCTGCAGGTTTGAGCATGTATGCAACTCAATGGACAGATACTGGTTCTTTACTACAGTACATCTATATTTTATAATTAATATTTTATAATTGTATAATATTGCACTTTTTTACTCCACTTCATTTTTTTTGACAGCTGTAATTTGTAATGGATTACATCAAAAAAGTATAAAATATCACATAATATTTATAAACTGCCTATATTTTTTGTTCTCCCATTGTTCCTTATTTTCCTCCATCTTTCTGTCCTTGCTTCTGACCTCCCATCATTTCTTGAGCAGATCTAGAACAATGAGAACTTTAACTTGGTTTAATCTTACAGCTGATAGTCACACGTAGTCCTGCGTCATATTTTGTATAAGTCTATTTCTACTATGGTCTTGCTGATTTTTACTAAAAGGATTTAAATGCTGGTTTCAGCATGGTGTGCGGCGAGCTGGGGTGACTAAGCCTTTGTCACATTATGTACATGTGTCCACACAAAAAGCTTATGATTTGTTGGTGCATAACCACCAGAGCAGCACAGCAAATTTAAGACTTGCCTTACAGGGACGTTGTTGTCGCCTCGTTCTTCCATCATTATGAAATCACACAGCTGATCCCCAACTGTGTCACTCTTTGACTCATCGCTGAATGCAAAGAAATGACCCTTCTGAGGATCTGCTGATTCAATATATGCCCTCCTTCTTCTCTCTTTCACAACTCTTTATCTCAGATTAATGAGCCCAAAGTTTCAGATGAGCAAGGGTGGGGACTCCAGGCATGTGCTGTACTTTTACAACTTGTGAAAACTAGATTGAACTTTAGACATTTGCAAAAGGAAATAATTTGTCTTTAGAGTCAGGACTTACTTTTAAGGTTAGGTTAAGGTAAACATTACAATCAGTGAGGATGAAATTAAAGTTTAACTATTACAGAATGAATGTTCTTAATGGTCATCATGAGGCAAGGAGAAAAAAAAATGGCTTTGTGCCTGTGAATGTTATTTTGTGTGTTTATGAGTTGTTGAACGTTGTTTTTGTAAGTAAATGATCTGAATGCTGTTCATCTAAACACTAATATCTACTGCAGGCAACAGAAGTTTATGTTGAATCTCAAGTCTCTCCCCTACAGTGCTTTTTTAACTTTATGCTTACTGATAACTAAAAGTTAGTTGAAGCACGTTCTAATGCGTTTCTATTTACTTTGCTTACTAAAAAAATCTCATAAAATTCTT